ATGACAGATGGCAACTACACTTACCATGGTGAGCATTTTGTAATACATATAACCATTGAATCACTATGTTGTACATCTGAAATGAATATAATACTGTAGGTCAAATATATTTCAATAAAAAAATTTATATACTAAAAAAAAAATTAACTTGAATAACAAGATTATCTGGACCCATCTAAAAATAGAGAGAAAAGGATATATGTATGTGTGTGTGCGTGTGTGTGTATTTACTTAATTTGCATGCTCTGTTTTATGTACCTACTATAGAATATTACAGAATGCTCGGATACAGAGGAATATGTTTAAAGAGTTGGCTATGGATCATGAAAATCTGGAGATATAGTTAAGGAAACATGGAAGAGGTCTACGAAATAGCTAAGGATGCTTGCAATTAAAATGGGATACAAAAAAACTTGTAAAATGAACAGTAAATATTTAAAAATGATAGTGTTGGGAAATTGTCTCACTCCTCGTTTTTCAGGATATCACTGGTTTTAAAGCATCCTGTGCAGTCTTATCCAAATCATCAGTTCAGAAAGCCTTCTCTCTTAGCAGTAAATATATAACCTTTACAAGAAAACTTCCCATGCATAAGGACATCTAGTTCATTCTGTATAACACATGCTGGCAATAAAGATGTTCAATATTTAGATGATGGTGAAGTTACATTCTACAACCTATTGATTTTCCATTTCTAATAGCCCCATTTTATTAACTCCAATGATTTTTAATTCTGCTATCAAAAGTAAGCCAACTGTTACTCTGATTGCAATGAGCTGTTTCAAACTATCATTCTGATTATAAATGAGTAAACTGTATGTTGCAATTAGAGATACCTGGTATATTGCAAAGGAGTAGCAATAAGTTTGATAGTCGAAAATAGAATGGTAGGCTTCTACATAAAATCCAAGATCACAGTTACCATTTTATTATTTTTAAGTTATACACATTCTTCATTAGTTTCCTGTCAAGAATGGAACTTTATATTGGAAAGGCTGAAAAATATTTGCATGACATTTAACTATAGTGCATTGGGACTGTTTTTAAATAAATATAAAGCATTGGTAGAACACTGTTCTTTCCAAGTTATTATCTTGAAAGGTCATAAACTTACTCCCATCATATATTGAATTATGGATTGACTTTTAAAAAATTCTAAGTCATATTATCCAGGACAGCACTGCATCAGAGGTGAGCATCTTTCTTAAAGTTGTCACCTCCTATAACCAGAGGCTGTCACTGTAAGGCTTGGCATTTAGCTAGTTAGGAGGAGTCCCTGCGTATGTTAAAATACTTTTAAGATTTCCACCATCAGCCCCTGAAGGATACATTGTTCTTTGTGATTGGTTCTTTCATTTGTACATTAAATGACATTACTGTATGAACTTTGCAAATATGCCTCAAAGTCTTCTTGCCCAAAGTCAACTTTCAGAGTTTGTCAAGTGAGCATCACAAGACTGGAACAAGCCAACTCGACAGCATCTCTTGGTGGCATAGGAGCTCCCTTTCTGAAGGGAAAAGCCAGCATTTCACCCACTGCTTGGCAAGGGAGTCCAAGCCAGGAAGGGCTTTGGGGAAACAGAGCACAGCAGGATGTAGAAAAAGCCAGCCGTCTGGTCCCGTCCCTTTACCTACTGTGGTCCGACCTCCACAGTTGAACTTGTGGGACATTTTGACTCACAGGGTGGGAACTAATCAGAGGAAGAGTAGTTGCCAAATCAAACAAAACAACTGCTTCCTGCTTCATTGTTTTTTGGGTGGCACATCCCATTTCTTTTTTGGAACATGTTTGGCTATAAGAAGGAATAAAAATGCCATTGTGAAAATAATTTCATCATTGTAGAAAAAGCCCTGATGTTCAAAGAAGGTATGGTCTTGGTTTCTTTTTTCCATTTTAATAAAGACTATGGATAGAAAAATAATTGCTTATTTTCCCTCAGAAGTTAATAACTATTAATTTACTTAAGTCAATAAAAGCTCTCTCGGTCTACCAGAAACTTACGGAATAGCAAGAATGAGTATAGCGCTTAGCACGTGCCAGGCACTATTCTAAGTGCTTTTGCATATTGAGTCATTTTCTTGTTACAGAAACTGTGAGGTAGATCCAATTATATCCATTTTGCAGATGAGAAAATTGAGGCACAGAGAAGTAACGTGCCCATCAAATGGCTGAGATGTGGCAGAGTCAGGATTTAAACCAAGAAAGTGGGGCCTGAATTTGTGTTCTTAACCCTGTGATAACCAAATGGTTACTAAAAAGCAGGAAGAGAAATGCTTGCCTTTTTATAGGTGACAGTTCACTCATCTCTCAGTATATCAAAGTGTAATTTTTACCTAGTTCTCCAATGTGAAATGAGGGGAATTAAAAAATACAGACAGCATGCAAACTCCTTTACTTCTATGGTTTTCAGCAAAAAGAATGCATTATGGGTTTAAATGAGTCAAATTAATGAACTATTATTCTCTGTTGTGGAAACTAGATGGTCATCTGCATTTACAATACCTCTTTTCTACCATAAAAGGCATAGCAATGGAGCTGGGTAAAGGCTCTTATTTTCAAAGAAAGGGATTAGGTCAAAGGTGAAACATCCCTGGAGTTAGCTGAGAAAGAAATTGAGAGAAATCTGAGACGAGCTCAGTGGGACTTGGTTTCCACAATTCTCATATTTAACCATGAAATTAAAATTAGGTGCAGGTCTAGATTTTCATGGTCATAAACAGGTTAGTCAATGAGTTCTAAAAGTTCACATACTCTTCTTGCTACTCCTTTTAAAATGTCCGAAGGACCTGAGAATTAGGACAGCTGAATAAACTTGCTTGTTTATTAAATAATGGGTAGAAGAGTTATGAGTTGACTCAGAAGAAAGACAGGAAACATGGTAATGTGGGCAAGGGCATTACAAAGTTTACAAATGAAACCAAATCTCTACAACTTGAAGATTTTTGTTAACCTACTGTAAGTCACTCAGAAGTGCAAGCAAGACACCCCCATGTGAATTCTCTCATTTTTTCCCTCTATTCAGAGTTCCACCCAATGATGCTGGCTCAAGCAGCTAGTAGAAGAATATTTTAAACAATAGTTAGAAAAGTAAACTAAGATGTGAATGGTTAAGACCCAAATACATAAAAGGGATATTTATAACAATGTTTATTAAACTAACTTGAAGAATAAGATTATTGTGTTTTTAAATTACTCCATCTCAGTGCATGAAAGGAATGGTTTACAGAAAAACAAAAGTAACATTTCCAAGAATGTTATTATCTCTAGTTTCGTATGCATTTTCAGCCTTGACATCTGTCTTTACCAACATAACCAACACAGTGTTGTTCAAAATTAAGTTTTGACCCAAACTGGTCTATGGAGATTCAGACAGGAGTTAAGATAAACTCAAAACAAGCAAACCAACACCAATCACCAGTAAAAACATTTATCTTGATATTTATATATTTACCAACATAAAATCAGTTGGTCGTTATGTACATGTATTAGTATTAGTACTCTACATTTACATACATATGTGCATTGTTAGTATCAAGTACAAAGATGTAACTTAAATTATTTTTATTGATGAAAAATACACAAAAATGTGACTGAACACTTGAATTTGAATGCTTATTCAATGCTCAGTGCTTAAAAGTATTTGGAAAAAATCCCAAAATATATTCTGATGTTAGATATTAAAAGTGAAAGTGTTAAGGAAATTAGTGAATGTTAAATATCATTTTAATAAGTAGGGGAGGTGAACAGAAGAAGATATGCATCTAGGTAGGAATATCTCTTAGCATAAGCCAAATAAAGAATCCGAAGTTGAAAGACTCGTTTTTCCCAAGGTCAATTTCATATTAAATTGAACAGAATCCTGAAAAGTTCAGGATAGGGTAAATGAATTTAAGTTTTCATAACAAGTTCATACTATCATTCAACACAGAACTGACTTCCTCCTAGAGTTTATTAGGAAGTCTTGGACACTGACCCTACAGTTAGCTACAGCGTCAGTTCCTTATTTGGCGTCAGGAAGAGAGAAGAGGGCAAGGTGCCAGGTAATGACCTCCCACAACTTTAGCAGGTGTATGTCCTTCCTGCAGAAACATTGGACCGCATGAGAGTGAGCTGGGTAGGAATTGCTGGGCCTCAAGCTGCTTTTCTCTAAAGTCTGAGGTCCACAGGGACCTAAGCAACGTGCCGCAGGCTGGGGCGCAGAAGGTCTTCCCAGGGTTTTCGGGCGGGGGCCTGACTGCTAGTTGAGGCAGGGACAGCAAAAGCAGCACAGGGTCCGGCCGGGGTTCTTCTTCTCATAGTGCTCGGCCTGGTGCATGCGCACTTTGGCCTGGCCGGTGTACTCCCTGGCCTTCTGCACGTGGGTCTCAATGACGTTCATGGTGTCTGCCTGCCTCTCCATCAGCAGCGCCACCTGCCGGAAGATGTCGTGCACCGCAGAGACGCGGCTCTCCAGGTGCAGCAGTTCGCGGTGCCGGCTCTCTATCTCATTCAAGGCCGCACGCGTGCCCCTCATGTCGGCCATCAGGTTCTCAGAGAACACGTCCCACCTGCCCTCCTCCAACATGTCCTCAATCTCGTCGCCTGAGATGTCCTTGCCCATGATCTCCAGCTGGCGCTGGATGCGGACCTTGCAGTTGTCGCGCTGCTTCATCTCGGCCTGGTTGTACTCGCTCATGGCGTGCTGGAGGGCTCTGATGAGCACGTCATAGTGTGCGCGCGCCATGTGCACCACGGCAGAGTTGGCACCGCGCTGGGCCTCGGCTGCGTCGGTCTCCACCTTCATGGTGTGCAGCTTGCTGTAGATGTTATTGCTCCGGGTCTTGATGTCTTTGGCAATGGAGTCGGTGTCGCGCTTGATGCTGCTGAGCCTCCGCATGGACGTGAGGAAGCGGGTGTTGTGCTTTCCTAGCCGCTTCACATCGACCATCAGCTGCTGGACTTCATTGTGAATGGCCTGGATGTCTTTTAACAAGGACTGCAGGATGGGGTCTGTCTCGAACACGATGTCCTCGTGGGGCAAGTCAAAGTCATTATCCCCATCTGCGGACTGCTCATAGTGCTTGGTTAACTCCCTAAATTCTGAGAGTCGGTCCTTCATTTTGCCTGCAAGCAGAGATACTGAGGTTAAATTCCTCTGGCCAGTTAAATATTTGCATTGAGGGAACTGAAGCTTAAAATAGAGAAACGTTCTGCTCAGCACTACCAATTCTTCATTCCTGGGTGTAGGTAATAAAAGCACTGAAGGAGCCATTATGTTCTATGAAATTTTGCTTACAAGTAAAGGACCAATGTGACTGAGAGGCATGAACATGGTTGTATATTACAGATTACAGGCATCTGTAGTTTAGTATTACAGGGACCTAGAATTCAATCAGCAATTTAAAATTTTAGAATGCATTGGGAACCAACTCCTTTCTCTTGCTTTACATTTCCTAATAATTGCAAATCGAAACAGACACAGGAAAAGGAATAATAAGAAAAGACTTGGTGAGCACTCCCAGTCCTATACATCCTGACAATTCTTAAAATAGTTACCATATAATCATTGTTTAAAATGTTTTCCCTTAAAAAATATCATAAAAGTAAACATACTTAAAATCAAACAACAAAATAAACACAGGGAATAATCTAATAAGGAAGTATAAAATTTGGAAGCTGAAATTTCCTTGCTCCTCTGCCCAGTATCAATGATACATACTTCAGTTTTGAGTGCTTGTTCAATATTCAGTGCTCAAAAATATTTGGGACAAAAATTCCCAAAATGTATTCTGATGGAAGATATTAAAAGTGAAAGAGATAAGGAAATATTTAAGTATGATTTTAATAAGCAGGAGAGGTATCCAGAAAGATATACAACTAAGTGGCAACCACACAGTGTAATCTAGATGCAGAGTTAGAAATGAAAGACATTAAGTTTTTTCCAAGGTTCCTGGTGGTAATGATCATTAACACAAAGTTCATACAGCAAATTTTAATAATAAAACACACTTCCATTTATCCATCACACAGCAGCAATATTTGTCCACTTTGAACGGCTTCTTGAAACAAGGTAGTGGGGTGGCTGAGGGACATCGCCACACACCAGAACATTAGGGTCTGTTTATTGGTCTCCCACTAGTTCTAGAAAGTCCCATGCTCTGTACTGCTTTCCTAAAGCCATGAAATATCTCTTTAGGGGAATCATCTCATTTATAATACAAAGAGCAAAGCACACTTTAATCATATAGAAAATGACCATGAAAGATGATGTTCTAAGATAGTCATTCCTTCTCAAGGCATAGGTCCTAAATCAGGTGAAGGCCTAAGCTCATTTGAAGGCTCCACAATCAGGTAAGGAGAGAAAGGAACAGTGTGGGCAATTACAGATTCTCTTTGGAGGTGCAGACAAGAAGGCAGCCTTCACCTTGCCTGGCCCAGCCCAACCCCACATGAATTGGTCCCACTGACTTAGAAGATGTCCTGGTTGCCAAGGAGCAAGCATTAGTAAAACTACAACAAAAAGTCAACCAAGAGGCTTCCATTTCTAAGAATGTTCCCCAAAAGGTTAAAATGATTCCTTGGGGGTAGTTATACCAAAATACAGAAGTAGGCACAGAAAGAGCATCAAGCCAACCTACATATCTAGTAGCTTGATTCTATACTGTTGAGATCCTGAAAAGGGAACTATGGTAAATGAGAAAGAAAAATCAAACAATTGAGACCTTCCTGTCTCTCTACGATAAAGAATAATGTGATAAACTTTGGTAAATTGTATTCATAAAGTTGCTAAAATAAATCCTGCTTTGGTTCACATGGAGATGAAGAATTCAAAAGAAAATTTACAACCAACTTCCCGAAATCTGCTTCTGCTTTCTAATTTTCTTTTCAAGCACACATATCATCTGTCCTGAGAACTGGATCCCACAGGGAAGGAAGGGGAAATTGCATTAGCCTTCTGCCATTGGGCAATAAGATTTTATGTATGAGAAAACACAGAAACAGAGATGATGGTAACTCAGTAGCTCTCAGACTTGAGGAGGCAACAGAATCTTCCGGAGAACTGCAAACATTGCAGATGCCTGGGCCTCTACAGTTTTTGATTTAGTAAGTCTAGAATGATCTCCAGGTGATTCTACTTCACACTCAAGTTTGTGACCCATTCCATAGATAATTATCATGGCAGCTTTTTATTCATAACATCACACAGTTCCAGACAACTTAAAATAGTCCTCCTCCTGCAGGCCATCTTGATGAGCAAACAATTGGTAAAGATTCAGAAAGATAGGAAGAGAAAGATTGAGAAAGCAGGTTTGTACCTACCTCAGAAGGTCAATGAGTAGAAGGGTTATAATATATAAATAACTCAGACACTGTGCGCTACAAAGAATTACCATGAAAGTCATTGTTCCCTGCTTGTTTCTAAGGGAACCAGTTATAAACACATCATAAAGTCACCTCTAATTGTAAAAGAGAGGCTTTGCACCTTATTTACTCTAAGGAGAACAAGAAAATAAATTGTCCACACATTGTTATGGGCTGAATTGTATCACCCTACCCCAAAATTTACATGTTGAAGCCCTAACCTCAAAACCTGAGAATGTAATTAGTTATACTTGGAAGATCAGATCTTTAAAGAAGTTAAAAGGAGGTCTTTACATAATCTATACATTATTGTACACTAAGCAATAGGTACACTAATCAAATATTGCCTGCTACCCTTTCCCTGTTTCACAGCAATTTGTTAAAGTACTTATACAAGTAGTGAGAAAGGTCAGACATGGGGATGCACAATGCAGAAGAGGGCAATGTACAAACCATGTGAGGTTTATTATAAGATCAATAAATTGTAGATTACAGGAAGAGACCAAATGCAAAAGCATGGAAGGCCCTTCCTGTTTGTATTTATGACAAAGAAATGTTTTAGGAACCTCATTCCCTTTTAATGTTAGTTCAGAAAGTTCAGGATTCTTAATGTATTAAAAAGCTACATTAATCAAAACAGTGTAATACTAACATCAGCACAGACAGAAATATTAATGGAATAGAACAGAAAATTTAGAAATAGATCCAGTCAGGGCACAATTAAGTTAGCATTTCAAATAACCGACAAAAGTTCTTGAGATAACTAGGGTTAAAATAAAAAACAACCAGAGACCGGCCTTGAAAATTCCCTGAGCAGACAAAACCAGTTTAGTCATACAAACAAAGCTTAATTTAGCTTAGTTTGCAAAGCTAACTAGACCTCAGTCAATTCTTGATCACGCCTCTGGAAGTCGTATTAAACTGTTTTCCAAAATTGATACAAGGTAACCACTCTGCTTTATAAAAGTATACCCCTGAGCATCACTCCATGTTTCAAGTTGAGTGCTCCTGGCTTGTAAACCGTCTTCTCAAAGCGTGCACAATAAACTTTTACTAATTATTTTTTTAGATACTTCAGATTCTTGTTTCAACAGGAACTGAAATACACATTTACACACACACACACACACACACACACACACACACACACACACACACACACACACACACACACAAAGGGGCTTTGCAGAAGATTATCAGTTATTAAGAAACTAAGAAGATCTTGCCCAAGATAGATGCTCCAGATGAGGACTTTTGAGTAGTGACTTCCTTACCTCCAAAATGAAGTACCCATGTTCTGGTTTTCAGATTTTATAATCTGTATCTCTTTCCTCCTGATTTTATAACAACTTTTAAGTTCTTACTAAAAGAAAATGACTATTACATATCAGAATATGTCTTTATGTCTAGGTCCACCACTGGTTTCTACGGAGCCTCAGTGAGCCTTTGTGTAGGGACCACATGACATTTTCATAGAGCATCCCTTTCTCTGGGCGGATGCAGTCCTGCACCAGGGCACAGAGTCTACTGCACTGGCCATGGGATGAACTTCCCCTCTCATTCTTATGGCAAGTCACTCTTGAGCTGGGCACAATCTCACAACCCAGTGTGTGGGGGTGTCCTGAATACTCCTTTCTCAACCACCTTGTCCAGTCACGCCTGTCCAACCATCACCATCAATATCCCATAGATCATAGATTATAGTAATTTTGCAGTTACTTTCTAGAACACACCACAGTAACAACCCTTAAAGGGCAGTAAGTGTACTTTCCAAACAGGCTAATTCAGATCCATAAATTATAACTTCACTCAACTGCATAAAACCTGGCATTCTGCTCCATTTCTTGATTTAAAAAATGATACATCTAAGAGGTAAACATCATTCTTTAAACTTGTAAAACTTACAGGCTAAAAGAAAAGAGTTCTAAGATGTCATATCTTCTTGTCACTTGAAAGTTAATTAAACACAAAAACTTGTGTTGGATCTAAAGTGCATTGGCAAGAATATAGCCAATTCTTTAAGTCCTTGGGGTTCCCTCAAAGCACAATTTGACAGTTTGAAGAATGTTGGTTGAGACGGATTATAATCATAAAAGTCCACAGCTAGAAGAAATATTAAAGATGTTCATTGTTTCCTCTCTTCTCTAAAGCAAAAAGCACGAAGGAGTTTTTCCAAAGCATTTTGGGGGAAGTCTAACCTTAAAGAGCAGTGTCCACTTCTCTTTCTCTCTACTCATCTGATGTTCCCTGACACTTTCACTTCTCAGTTCCCTCCACCAGACTTTTCTGCCAAAGTCTGAACAGAAGAAGGCAGTCCAAGCTGCACAGTCAATAAATAGCCAGTGGGCAGTCAGGAGTTTACTTATTCCCATATGCTTTCAGGTGTGTCCTGAAGAAATGCACTGGAAATCAAAGCAGTTGCCCCTGTATTCAAGACCATACTTTCTGCTCTCCACTAACACTCATTAGGTATTTGCAATATGCCAAACACAGCGCTCAGCACTGTGCATACCTGTTAGGTGCCAGTGTCAATCCTGATTTACAGGTGAGGAAACATGAGTTCTAATGAGTTTAAACAACTTGAACAAAGTCACACAGGTAATAAATATGGAGCTGAGATCTGAATCCAGAAAGTCTGACTTGAGAGCCTATACATGAACCACAGAGCTATACTAACTGCTTCTTCCTGAGCCTCCCCAACAAAGGTTTCAAAATCTTTCATCTTATTGGGAACTTAATCTCTTCTTAGTTCATTCCAGCTG